GGCCTTACGTCATCGGCTCGAGGGGAACTCCTCAAGGCGCGGTCCTCTCTCCCCTCCTATTTAATATAGCCATGCTTCATCTTCCCCCCAAATTGGCTTCTTTACCAGGGATACATCACGCTCTTTACGCGGACGATATCACGATTTGGGCCACGCAAGGTAACCTGGGTCACATGGAGTCATGCCTGCAAGCAGCAGCGACTGTAGTCGACGACTACGCAACCTACTGCGGACTCCAGTGTGCCCCGGCTAAGTCAGAATTTGTGCACGTACGTCCCTCCCCTCAGGACACAACTCAGCTCCATATCAGTCTTCCCTCGGGACCGATCCGTTAGGCCAAGGAGATCCGCGTCCTTGGCCTCTTCATACACCACCAACGCAAAGCCGACACCACAATAGCCAAACTTCGCACGGTGGGAGATCAGGTGGGCCGTATGGTCCACCGGGTCTCCAACAAGCGGGGCGGATTACGAAGTAGGGATGCAATGCGGCTTGCCCATGCTTTCGTAACGAGTAGAATACTCTACTCGACTCCCTACTTGCACCTACGCAAACACGAGGATGATCAACTCGAGGTCATCCACCGTAAAGTTATCAAGCGGGCTCTCGACCTCCCTATCACCACGTCCAACCAGAGACTTCTGGCCCTAGGCGTGGTGAATACCTGCCGGGAACTTCGAGGAGCCCACCTCGTTAACCAATACACGCGCCTTGCACAGACCCATTCCGGTCGCCGCCTCTTGGACCGAATACACATCAAACACGATTACTATATTGAGGAAAGGGTGAGAGTGCCAGAACCTTGGAGACGCGCCCTCCGGATCCGACCCCTTCCCCGCAACATGTCCAAAGAAAACCACAGTGGTCGCCGCCAGGCGCGCGCGGAAGCGTTGCAGCGACACTTTGGTCAAGAGGAACACGTGTGCTACGTGGACGTTGCCGGCCCGCACCCTGGGGGGTGGTATACTGCCGCAGTCATACACAACGCAAACACCGTAAACGGGCTCACTTTCAAAGCCTACAGCGCAACACACGCGGAGGAGATTGCCATCGCTCTGGCTCTCACCTATCCCTCTTCTAAACATATCACCGACTCACGAGGGGCCTGTCGGAACTATCAGCTAGGGTGGGCTTCACCGCTTGCTCAGCGCATACTGAAACCTAGCTGCCGATACGTTAATCCAACTCCGCGAAATCTGGTTTGGGCACCCAGTCACCAAGGACTCAGGGGTAACGAACAGGCCGATCAGGCCGCCCGCGCACTCTCTTCCCGGGCTATCTCCCTGTCTTTGGAAGCCTACTCGCAATCAGACAATTAAGACAATTCGGCCTTTTCATTCAAAGATATTACCAATTACTACAAGGAGGAGCACCGGCGCTATCCAGACCCTTGTAAGGGACTGCATCGCGCTGACGAGCGCCTCCTTTTAAAACTGTTTACCAATACTGTACTGTGCCCGGCGGTGCTAAAACATTTCAATTCATCCTTTGATGGCACGTGCCAGTTCTGTGGTGAGGTGGCTGACACCTTTCACATCGTCTGGGCGTGCCAGTCTAATCCATCTATCCCCCCCCCCCAACCCCAATCCCACGAGAGAGGACTGGGAGGCGGCCCTGCTCGGCTGTCAAGACCTGAAGGCCCAAGAGGCTCTGGTTCAACGGGCGCGGGCGGCGTTGCTTGCCAATGGGGCCCCGGAATAGGGGTTCCACCTAGTGCTGTGAGGGTAGGAGGCCAATAAGGCCCCAACCCAATCACCTCTCTGTAACCATTTAATGGTTATTAAATGTTTTCACCACCACCACCACCTCCGAATCCTTGATCTGGTCAAAGCGCAGAAAAGAGCTTATCCTATCATCTAGCTGCTTAAATGTTTTATCAAAAAGGTGCTTCTTTGCCTTGGGTGACAGAATAGTCATGATAACTTGGCACTTTTCGTGTTGTAGTACAGGATAGTTGCACTGCTTCATCAGGTCGAGCTTTCGGTATGCGAAGTCTGTACATGACTCGCCTGCGCGTTGCGTTGCGCCGAACAATCGTTGCTTAGATGTAACATCGCAGTCCATGTTATAACGTCGGCGGAACGCTGCCTTCATGTGAGCCCCAGTACTGATACTAGCTCTCTTTTGCACTCGTGCTTGATTTGGCGTCAGAATTTTCATGCGTTTTTAACTCCAGACGCTCGATGCGTTCTACTAGTGGAGCAAGTAAGTTACACAAGAAGTCATGACTTGTCTTCATCTGTGAGTCAGGAGGCGGTTTTGGTGCGTCGTCGTGCTTGGCGGTGTTGTGGTCTTGAAGAATCATCAGTTTCAGTTTCTCCAATTCGCTCCGGAGCTCGCCCACCTCGGTCCTTAGGCGGCTTCGGACACAGCTGGCCGGTAAGCTTGCACTCGGATGGCGTCATACAGCTGCTCGAACACGTCGACAGAACACGGGGCCGTCGCCATCTTGGGATCACGGAGCCGGCGCGGCCCAAACGTCAGTGGTTGAGCCGAAGGAGCGCGTAGGGAGCGACGTTCCCACATAGATGATGTAAACGTCTTCTTAGTTCACCTCGAGCCGTTGGGCGCCAACTGTGACGTGCCGTTGTGGCCGTCAGATATACTGGGTTCCGAGGCGGCCTAAGAAGGACGTTAACACTCTTTCAAGATCAGGAAGGGACTGCCAGACACTTTTTAAATGCGAACTTCGGCGACTTTGAGCGTATCTATCTATCTATCTATCTATCTATCTATCTATCTATCTATCTATCTATCTATCTATCTATCTATCTATCTATCTATCTATCTATCTATCTATCTATCTATCTATCTATCTATCTATCTATCTATCTATCTATCTATCTATCTATCTATCTATCTATCTATCTATCTATCTATCTATCTATCTATCTATCTATCTATCTATCTATCTAGCCGCCGAGACGTTTAGCTCTCCTGGCCGTTTCGATAATAATATCGATACCAAGCTTGGTATGCCATAACATGACTGTAGGAAGACAATATTTGACTAGTCATAAGACGAAAATCATATTTATGTCATGAATGTCATGATCTACATTTCATGGTCCTGCAGCTATCGCGGTGGTTTCGTTCGCATGGCATGTTGCAAAAATGGTATGACATGATTGTATGGCGAACACAAGCGACAGGCTCTAACATGAAAATCATGATATTCGTGTCATGTAACAACATGAATACATGCCACGCTCATGATGCGCTCGCGGCCATTTTGCTAGCGTCACATATATCAAATTTACTATTAAGGCACGTGAATGGATGACGAAGGTATGTGACTGGTGCGAACATGATAATCATTAGATGCGTGTCATGTAACAACATTAATACATCTCACGCTCTTGATGCGCTGGCGGCCGTTTCTATAGCTTCACTTATACCAAATTTGGTATTATGGGACGTGAATCGAAAATAAAGGTATGATACGGGTGCAAACGTGTGATGCGTGTCATGTAACAACATGACTGCATGCTACGTTCATGATGCGCTCGCAGCCGTTTCGCTAGCTTCCCATATGCCAAATTTGGTATTAGAAAACGTGAATGGATCCCGAAGGTATGATACTGGTGCAAACATAATAAACATGAGATATGTGTCATGTAACAACATGACTACATGCCACAGTCAAGGAGCCAATTTATTTCGATGTGACGCGGTGCGCGCGCTCGCCGGTGTTCATTTCATTGCGTCACCACGCCAGGCGCCGGTCCTGCCATATACTCGCAGGCGCGTGCCGCGTTGCTTTGACACATGCGCGTTTCAGCGCGCCCCTCCTTCACGAAAAGAAGGAGACGCAGTGTTGTCTGGGTAACGCATCGGCACGAAATGCAGCATATGTCGCATTTCACGCTGGTTTCCGTTGGGCCGCATAGACGGACGCTGGTCGCGCCGGTCGCTCCTGGCGTCAGACAATAGTGTGGCAGCTTGGGCTAGTTGGTATGGCATGACGATAGTTATAGCGCGAGAACAAAACGACGACACGCTCGTGTCTTTCGTGTCCTTCTTGTCTCTGTGTCGTCGTTTTGTTCTCGCGCTATAACTATCGTCAGACAATAGTGCTCGCATTTTGCTAACGTAGCGTCGCTGTGCCCATTGGAGCATGAGGAGTATACATTGGAGTATAGTGGCCCCTTCATGATGCGCTTGCGGCCGTTTTGCTAGTTCCACATGTTCCGAATTTGGTTTTACTTGACGTCAATGGATGACAAAATATATGACACGTGCAATCATGATAATCCTGACACGCGTGTAATGTAAGAACATGACAACATACCACGCTCATATCGTGCTCGCGGCCCTTTCGCTAGCTCCACATATACCAAATTTGGTATCACGTGACGTGAATAGATGACGAAGGTAAACGACACATTCAAACATGATAATTATGACACGGAAGTCATGTACGGCATCATTTACTTCCACGCCGTAAAGTCGTTCTGAGTTTAATATGACATATCAACATTTGTCATTCATGCTTCGCATATCATCGATTCCCACTGTACGCGGGATCTGCTATTTTTTTTTTTTTTTCACGTTCCTCGAGCGCCCGCGAGCTCAGCACCGATCTACTTCGTTTTCCTCGTGCAAAGGCGCGAGACACGCACCGAGCATCGTCTGCTATCGCACGTCACACTCTCTCAATCAGCAGATGCGTTTCATCATTTTTATGCCAGTACAAAACAACGAATTCGTCGACTTTTGCCGCGGACTTACACTGTTGACAATGTAAAAAAAGATCAGAAGGTGAGCTTGCGGTTAGCGATCTCGAAGTTCCAATAATCTCATGGTTAATGCAGCGACCCGTTTGGTCTACGCCGACACCTGCCGCATCTGTGTTTGAATGTCGCGCTCTCTCCGTGTCAATACCATTGGAAACAAATGCAAAAAAAAAAAAACGGTGTCACAACGACTCAGAGACCGGAAAATATGCAAGCATAGAATGCGGAGAGTATGTGTGAAATGTGCGTATGTTTGGTGTCACCACCGGAAGTGGCCACGCGGGGGCGTGGAACCACCCTGCTACACGCCGGGCCGCGAACATGGCTGACGTTGCGTGATTGCTTTCTCTGCCGTATCGTCGTCGTCGCCGAGCAGCGTCGTAGGGTGACGACCGCCAGCGTATGGTAAACGTGCCGTCGAGCCTCCTCCGCCGGGGACAGCGTGTCGCTGAGGAGCGCCGGCGGAACCACCATGAGCAACAGCGAGACGGGTCAGCCGCAGCAGCAGGGCGAGCCGGAGATGAAGGGATGGCTCGCCAAGTGGACCAACTACCTGAAGGGCTACCAGAAGCGCTGGTTCGTCCTCTCCAACGGGCTGCTCTCGTACTACAGGAACCAGGCGGAGATGGCGCACACGTGTCGCGGCACCATCAGCCTGGTGAGCGCAGTGATACACACCGAGGACTCCTGCAACTTCGTCATCTCCAACGGGGGCACGCAGACCTTCCACCTGAAGGCGAGCAACGAGATCGAGCGCCAGAAATGGGTCACCGCGCTCGAGCTGGCCAAGGCTCGTGCCGTGCGCATGATGGAGTCCGGTGAGCAGATGAGCCGCTGGACGGTCAAGGACGCCGGCAGTAGGCGTGACCTTGCGTGTTGAGGGATACATTGGGTGCAGCTTGACAGCAGGCAGGAAAATGTACAGAGAAGTTTTGCTCGTCGCTCCTAAAACAACGAAAAATAAGCACGAAGCAATAGATTCGTTCAATCTCTTATTTAGTCGAGGTTTGTGCACGTTAATGAAGTGTTATTGGCTTACACCCGGTCGAGGTTCGAGCAATAAAAAATTTAACGCTTGATCCTCGGGCGCCTGCCTTGAATCGCGTGGTAGCCTTTTATAGCGCACTTGCAAATACACATTGCATGCGTCGGTTGCTTAAAGGCGCAGATAAAACGGTGCTCGTGGCTTTCAATTCCCAATATAATTACGTTGCTCTCAAATGTCCCGAGTGAGTGTAAATACAAAGACAAATTGAAAATATGACGAGCTGCACTATCGCGTTAAATGCGGCTAGGAATGCGTGTTCTTCTTTTCTGTGCATGGAAAGGCTTGAAATGTGACCGATAGTGTAACTATATGGCTCACATGATGCACGAGAAAGGGATGTATTGTTGAATTAAGCAAAGGCTGGGAGTAATCTCGCCGATGCATACTTGTGCCGCATGGATGCATCCACTGGTATAATACTGGATATATTGGTCCGTGTTGGCGAACTTGGTCCTACAAAATGAACAACCCTTATTTCTGCAATTGCCTTCCGTAGATGGCCTTGATTATCCACTGCAGTGGCCCTCGTCTGCTGGAGCGATGCAGTTTTCGCTTTCTTTCCCCTCCCGTAGCTCAAAAGACAGCTTGATCTTCCTCTTTTCTACGTTCACGTATGCACAACAACAACACTATTTGTGGATAGGGTCAGGCATGTGCTGCCTTCCGAGGTAAAGTGTTGTGTGGGCAGAGAGATGCGTCATTGATATGAAAAAAGGCTGAGGTAATAAGAGGCATTGCCAGAAAGTATTAAGGTTTTGTGTCAAAATGTAGAAGGAATTTATGAATAGTTTTCAAAATATTTCTGCATGTTTTGATTGTTTTTATTTGAGAAGTGTTCCGGGAAGTCACTAGGCTTAGTCTTCAGAGTTTCGTTTTATACGAAACTAATCCTTGACAACTGTTAAGTAGTCCTGAACATATAAGGTCATATTCATTTGCCTTCTTTCTTGTACGCATTGTTTTCTAATTTATACGGCAGTCTAAAATTTCTTGTATTTAAGACAGATTATTTTGCAATCAAGCTTCTGTCTGACAGACTCCAATAAAATCCCGAGTAAGTGCCCCCTTCATTTTTTTTTTTAAAAGATTTGAAATATGCCCTTCTCTTTCTGTCATTTTCACTGAACGAGAACAAACTACAAAAAACAGTGAATAGATGCATACTCGATAAAGCATTTAATTAGAAGCGTGGGTCTGCTCTGCCATCATGAATTTTGATCTGCAACCAAGCAAGGGCGCACCCTCCAATTCTTGTCAAATTTCTCTTTACCATACGGGGGGGGGGGGGGGAGGCTCTGGCTCTTGTTTGAAATTTCACAGCTGCGAATTTCGACGCAATGTCTCTCCTGCTGAGAGGTTCATGCTTTGAAGGATGTAGATCGGGGTGTATACGAACTGCAGAAATCAGTAAGAGTCATGGAATTTCTGAAAAAGCCTGGCAAGGTCATGGAAACTGACAGCAGTCTGTGCGGCAATCGCAAAAATAATCATCACCATTCATCAAAGCCTAAAGAGTTGCCCCTTCGACTGCAAACACAGTAAACTGCTAAGTAGGAGTTGAAAAAAAAAATGTGGAGGCAGTATGTAACTGTCGCTTGTGCCTATTGCACAGCACATTGCATTTTCCTAGCACATTACTTATGCCGGCAAGTCTGCGCGTATTTGTCTTCATGACAATCTCGGCTTGGCTTGAATGCCTTCTGGTTAGGCTAGAAGCAAGGCTTGGTGGGCCATGTTAAACTTATTCATTGCCAGTGCAACGAGAAACGTCCTCAGCTACAAACACACTTGTTGCTGGTTGCTCACTTTTCAGGAGTAGAACGGGCTTACTATGCATCAAAAAGTCTCATTTAAGTTTCTTGAGATTGTCTAATGAGATCTGTGATTACTCTTCAGCATTGCATTCATAGAAACCTACATAAACAAAGCGAGCATGCCAGCATCAGGGATTCAGCTACGGAATCATGTTATCGATATGGAATCGAGTAAGCCATTGCCTCCTCGTAGGGCCGCGGTGCTGCCCCACCGACTGTTGCAGCCTGGCAGATTCCTTCGCTGTGCTGCCACATATTCATCAGCACTTTAAATGCAACCTTTCATTACAGGCGTTGTAAGACTTACGTGGTGCCCCAAGCATCAGAACCTAGACAAATAAAATGCTAACTTGTATACCGTTTGTGTGAACAAAAAAAGGGGGGGGGGGGGGAATCTCTTGGTAGGAGTCCGCTTTTTAGGCGTTGTTGGTCGTTGTTCGGAGAAGGTCCGCAGAATATGCAAGTAAAACTAACTCTTTCTTACTAAAAGTATAATTTAGCTGTGTGGAAACTAGGCAAGGACACAGATCACTTGCAAAGTAATTACGATAACCCAGGTGCAATCAGATGGAACTTCCAATCGAATCCTCATCCTAAGCTTGGTGGCTATATTGCCATTCTTCTTCTGAATCAGTCACAACGCCTTCCCAAATAAGTGTTTATTTACCTCTGGTTGTGTGAATGTGGAAATATCCGAGCTCATGTTATGGATTACACTAGTGCTGTATGACGCAAGTAATACCTGCCTCACACGGTGCACTGCTGATCACGATTAAGCCCAAAAGTGATCAGATTTTTCAACCGTGATTGGCTATGCCCTTCGGCAGCTTGCGTAAAGGAATCAATCACGATCTTGAAATCAGATTTGGACCAGGCTCGATCGCAATCAAAAGTGACCGTGTGACCCAGGCATCAAGCTTAGTGCGCTGAATGCCAAAAGACTCTCACTCATCAACATTGGCCTCACTACTGTCTCCAATTGTGCTGGGAGCAAGAAACACCAAGCTATGGTGGGCCTGTCACGAAGTGCTTCCCAGAAAAATACGCAGGCATTTTTTGTGCTAGAATATGCATTGACTGTGCGAAGCACGAGCATTGAAAGTGCACCTGCTAAGCCATGGCACCTGACATGAGGACACCTTAGTAACAGCGTTTTGGGCGTGTCGTTATGGCATCCTGTAGTTTTATAGCGCACGAGAAAACATGGACAGAGAAAGATGTGACATGCACAGGTGCTAACTTGTAACAATGTTTATTCCGAAAACAGGTAACCACATGTATAGGCAACATCACTTTATGATCCTCATGGTTCATGAACTTTGCGAATTCGCATTATGGTTATAAAGCCGTGTTGTGCTGCTAGTTAGCATCTGTGTATGTCAATATTTAAATAGTTTTCTTGTCAGCAAACGTGTCACAAAAGCAGTAATTGTTTGGTGTCTGAACACTATAGCGACTCGTGCTTCTTTTTTATAGTGAAAGCTGTTAGAAGATCATGATTTGCTCCCAGTGCCCATAACCGCTATCGCATGAAAAAAAAATATCAGGATAAAACATGGTCCAAGCCTAGGTCCGCTCGGTGCCAGCCCAGTAGTTTACCACTCAGATGCTCAAAACTCCTGTGCACAAAAACCCTATACAAGTGTTGTGTCGGGAAGGAACTGCATTAACATATGCAATATAACATGTTAGAAGAGTAAAATAGCAACCAGGCATCACAGAATGCAAATTCTGTAACCAGGCTTCACACAATATGAATCACTCTAAGTGCTTCACTGACTGTATGAGCGGAGTGGTGTACTCCATCCCTTCGTCATGCAGTGGCACGTACATTGGGCAGACGGGACGCTGTCTCAATGTACGTCTAAGGGAGCACGCTAGCTCTCTGAAAAGTACACCTTCCATGCATCTTTGCTTCCATTGTCAGCAGTGCGGTTGCGCTGCTGAGTTTAATAAAACCATTGTAGTGATGGGACACAGGGATCAGCATACACGGGGCGTTGCTTAAGCATTTCAAATCATAGAAGCAAGAGACAGGTGCGTGAGCCAGCCTTCAATCATTTCCACAGATGCTGAGGGTTTGTATGTACATCATATACGTAATTACATGCTTGGTGGGGGTTGATAAGATCTTCGGTGACTTCCTTTATGCCTATATATGCCACATTTTTTCCATTAAACTTTCAGTTTCTGTCGCTTTTGCCGTGCACTTCCTTGTATTTTTGCATTCTTTTATTGCACTGATCGTGACAGGTTAAAGACCCCAGGTGGCGGAAATTTCCGAAGCCCCCTATACAGTGTTTGTCATAATCATATCATAGATTTTGGAGGCGAAACCTCAGATATTTTCATTAGTTGACGCTCCAGAGTATACATGTGTGCTCATTTTGTACGTCGTTCTTTGTGTTTGAGTGATATCGCACTTGCACTCATCCTGTGTGTGATAGTTTGGTGCAGCTTCTCTTCTGGAGGAGTGAGCTGCAAGTTTCTAGCTGCTTGCTGTTTTTTGCATGGCTTTACTATTTGCTTCTGTAGCATTCATTTCTTTGCCCTTATGGTGAAACAATGCATAACAAAACACTTAACTACCTCAGTAAAGACACAATTCAATTTCGTGTCTTGTGGATCCTTGTGACAGAAGTAGGTTTTAAAATTAATCTGGAGAAAACGGAAGTATGTACAACAATCTTGGGAAGAGAACAGCGTTTCGAGATAGGTAGCAGTGCACTTGAAGTTGTAAAATAGTACGTCTTCTTAAGACGGCAAGTAACCGCAAAGCTGAACTACAAAGCTCAAGCAACTAGAAGAATAAGAATGGAGTGAAGCACATTTAGCAAGCACTCTCAAATTACGACTGGTAGATTGCCACTATCCCTCAAGAGGAAGGTATATAACAGCTACATCTTACCTGTACTTACTATATACCTAGAGAGCAAAAACTTGGAGGATTACATAGGGGCTTAACTTAAATTGAGGGAGACGCAGCGAGCGATGGAAAGGAAAATGATTGGTGTAACCCTAAGGGACAAGAAAAAAAGCAGTGTGTATCAGGCAACAAATGGGTGTTCAGGACATCATAGTCGAAATCAAGAAGAAATGGTCATGGGCCGGGTACATAGCGCGAACGCAGGTCATTAAGGATTACTGACTGGATCTCAAGAGAAGACAACTGTTTGAGAGGGAGAGAGAAACTTGGGTGGGCAGATGACATTAAGAAGTGTGCGAGTATAAAGTGTCAGCAGCAAGTGCAGGACCGAGTGGACTGGCAGAACATGAAAAAGGCCTTGGTCCTGCTGTAGGCGTAGTCAGGTTAATGATGATAGAGGCATCTGCCATGTTTCATTACCATGTCAGTTATACAATTGAAAATAAATGTCACAGTGAAGAATGGAGCTGCTACGCTGTTTGTATTTATTTCCATCTATCTGCTATGTTTCCAAAAGAAAGGATTGGTATATTTGGAATACTCTATACAATGTCATGAAATGTCCTTGTTCTAAAGATAACGTCAGGAATCTACATGAATATTCCATAACTCATCTTAGTGAATGAACAAATGGAGCTATATATAACATTACCCTTACAAAAGCCACATGTGGTTAACAATGTCAGTTTTATTCTGTTGGGGTTAACATTTTTAGAGGTATTTGGCTCAACTTCTATGAAGCAGCCACAGTACAGGCGCTACCTCTAAAATGTATAATAATTACAAAGCACGATGTCTTTTGAAGTTGGATGTTAAAGTTAGATGATAAAAATCTGAGCTCCTAAAAAAAAGCAGCATGAAAGGGCTCATAGGGACTAATGAGAAAAAAAGGGAAGATAATATTACGCTCCTTAAATGCCCTGTCTGAATTTTTTTTCTCAAATTTTTGTTGTAAAGTAACTCGATTTTGCTATTTTTCAAAATTTAAAGCTTAATTTTCGTCACTGTATACCTTTGGCATGTTTCACCTCAACATTGCCTTGACTTAACAGTAACTCACATGGAATGCAGATGTGTAAGTAGTAATACTGACGCAGGAACTAGAAAAATAAGAAAGAACGTGGCAATAGGTTATTAGAGACATATAAACTGGTGGCAAGAAAACTACGGAAGCCTAGATACTCTGGTGGATTCTAAAGGGAAACAGCAAAGAAAGCTTTCTGCTAATGATGAACTTATCATTAAAAGAACTGCTTGAATTATTTAGCAGGAAGAGCAAAAAGTATGCCACAATGCGTTCTGTAACAATGTTTCTTCTAGTGCATCCAGCTCCAGAGGTGCGATGGTTGTTGTGTCATTTCCATTTAAATGAATGTCATTGTATAGAAGTAAGACCTACATCTACGAGACTTTCAAATTTTGGCGTGTGAGAGCAGCGTGACACAGACCAACCCCATTCTCGAGTGCAGTGAAGCACAGTGCGAGACAAACTTAGCTAATGACACTATAGCGGCATCAGAATTTGCTGACGATGTTGCACGCATTTGAAGTACACAAGGTTACTGTGTTGTGAACGAATGCCATCATACCCACACTACTAAAAAAAAAAAAAAGGTATCAAGGCAAGAAAAGGTCAGATGCACGTAGATTTTCGCGCACTTGTTTTTGTGGATATGGCTCGAGAACCGTCACGTGAGTCTGCTCCACCAGTGGGAACTTGATAGCCTCTACTGGCTGCCGCATTCTGGTGTAAAGAATCTCACTGCTATTTAGTTCTATTCTGGTGGCCTAGTGGTAACTGTTTGACCTTGAGAAGTGCTGATTATTATTGTGTATTTTGGTGGGTTTTTATACCAGTGTCTTGTGTCTTAAGATACATGATTGAATATAGGAAACATCGTTTTGAGTGGCCTGAAGAAAGTGCAGAGCTGGGAAACGGCCTTCTTTCTTTCCACCTCTTTGGTCTTTTCTCTTCATTTCTATGTTTCTATTATTTTTGCCTTTTATATTTCTTGTTCGGTTCATCTTTATTTTTCTATTTTTATACGTACTTTTTTCCTGTGTACAGCATACGAAAGCTCGAGTTCCTAAAGTTCTCCGCAATTAAAAAGTGGTGCATTTTACCATGTACAACAACTATCTGCCTTGAAAGTTAGCCTACATAAAGGTAATTTCACATGCTTGCATGTAATTTGCACGAGAAAATGCTCACACAAAGGCTATAAAATGTAGTCTAAATGCAAAGGTCGTTGACTATGACGGAAGGTGGCTGCAAATGACTGCTGCTGAATGCCAAATGGTGAGAAGTGCTTGTGTTTTATTTTCAGCTAATCTGAATCACATTGGTTTGATTTATGTGCAACTCACATTATTAGCATGAGTGCTGCGAGTGCGTACCAGGCTGCTGTGTATAAAATGCGAATTTGTTACAGAAGTGTGTCTTGTTTTTTTATCTCATCTTATTTTGGCAGAACATTACTCGTGTGTTGCGAAGGTTATTTTACTTTTATTGATGAAAGCGCCTACATTTAAATCATATCCACCAAGACTCTGTTTACATATTGTTTGAATCTTAATCAAGTCTGTGGCCAAGCCTTAGCCGCTACGAATCTCTTTTCAGAGGAAGACGACGAGCTGGACATGCCATCGCAGCTAGATAAGTGTGAGCTGCTCACTGTGCTGAGGCTTCTGCATGTCAAGCTTGAGGACCTGTCCATGTGCAGCGAGCTCATTGGGAAGCACGGAGCGGCACTGCAGCGCTCGCTGTCCGAATTGGAACAGCTTGACACAGCAGCCGCGGGCGGAGGGCCCGAGCTGGCCGCACGTGTGCGCGCTGTGAATGAGCGTGCTACACTCTTTCGCATCACCTCCACAGCAATGATGAATGTAAGTATTTGACATACATTGGCAGAGCTAGACCAGACGGCATAAGTAATGCTTCTTGCATAGTCTTCTGATGTTTCGAGTCAACCATAATAGCTGTCTGCTTTATTGTTTGTGTTGATATGGAAGCAAGTTCCACTTCTTCTGTATTGATACTGTTATGAATCTGCAGAAAAGAGAAAACTCCAACCAAAATTTATTTTAGGAAAACCAGACGTTTTCAGCCCAGACGGACTTTTTCTTCAAGCTTCAAGGATGCAAAGGCCCGATACATCTGGTGCTTATATACTGGGGGGGGGGGGGGGAGTACCCCTCACCTGCGGCTCATCCTCAAATCGTGACATATTCAGCAGACAGCGGGAAGGAAACATCAACCGCTTTATGGGGATATAATTATTGCCCTTCCTCTACTGCCAGTGCTGGCATGACAAGCAGTTGCCGCAAGCCTCTCACACACGGCAAGCAATCCTTTATATAAGCACTGCACATCTCGGGCCTTCTCACCTAGAAGGAGCTGGCCTGGTTTCGGGATGTTTCAAAATCATTTACCTGGTTGGAGGTTTTTCTACAGCTCTTCATTCCAACCAGGCAGACTTCTTCCAAATTCTTTAATTATGAATGTGGAAATTGTGAACCTGTTACCTTACTTAATGTACTAAATGTACTTTAAGGCGAATTGCAGTGGCCTTAAGGTTGCACTCACACATTTCAGTCACCAAATCAATACAGCGAATGGCATTACACTATAAGTCTTCCTAGCAAAGCCAACTTTATTGTATGGCTTTAAAGATAACAAAAACACGTTCAATTACAGCAGTTGTAAGAGCGTTATATTTGCAACGCGTACAGCAAGCATACATGAATGCTCTGGTAGTATGTGTGGGGACATCTGTAGCTGCTTTAGTTCGGAACATTTCCAATAAATAAGGGCATGCAGGGAGATCTCCACACTCGATTACTGCAGGCTTAGGAGTATTCGTCTGGGAAGGCTAGGACTTCAGATTAGTGATGAATGTTGTCACGGGTTTGCGATGTTGAGAAAGGCGGCAGTTGACTTGTTCAAGATAACTCTTTATTCTGGCAAACTAATACCCTAGAATTAAAAAGTCGAGGTGCAGGCGATACACGCTGTACTCTGATAGTTGTGATTTGTTCCCCTGTTGTTGGTTATCTGATCTGCTATAAGGCGTGTTGGCATTTATACATGACACATTTAAGATTTTAGCCTCATCGTTGGTGCCTGCATCAGTCTCAAAATAAACTCTACTGTTCTTGTTTTGAGCTCAAACATATCCGTATATTCTAAAATAATCTGGAAAGTTTCCCGAAACGTGGGCATAGTTTGTGCAAGGCAGTGGTTTTACATGTAATGGACTGGTTATATAAAGCATAAAAAGAAGTGTGCACGGCAATATTTTGGTATCCTACAGTTGCCAAATGACATTTTGCTGTGAAGTAAAGCTGTGGGCTTGACAACCAATTGAACAAAATGAACAGTGTGTATGGGGAACCTGCGCTGGAGTTATGCGAACGTGGAGCGCCGCCCTGTCGATCGCGGCCATAAACATTCAGGCGTAAAAACAAATACTAACTCGAGCTATGCCGCCGTGTACGATGATCGGTTGAGGAAAAAGAAGCTTTTAGACTGGCGGTATTGTTGTATTTACTAATGCCACAAACACAAAATGTTTTTAATAACGGAAAAGATAATCCAGAGCATGTATAGTTGACTCCCTCCAGCGTCTTATTTCCACCAATGCACATGGTTTGGTCCTCTAGAAAATATCATAAGTTCTTTAATTAAACTTGCCTTTAAAACGTTCAAGAAAGCACATAAAAACTTTGGTAGTGTAAGCATCGTGCCATATATTACACACACACCGTATTTATTGGATTGTAACACGATCGCGATTGTAACGTGAGGGGTGACATTTTATAACGTCTCGGAAAAAAAACAAAAGCGGTACTCGGCACGTGAAGGTCGACTTTAGAGCAAACATCTGAAATAAGAAAGAAAAGAAAACCCCATGTCACATTTCAGTAAACATACGGTATTGTAACTGACAGTCACGTGCACAGTTCCCGACTGGTTACAAGATGATGACTGCTCGAAAATCCTTGATGACCTACGCATGTTGCATTACTGACCACACACTGCATGTCAACCATGGAACCACCACAAGGTCAATTACCACCAGGTTGTTCAAAGGCATTCTTTGTTTTAAGTATCAGGCTTATGCGACGGCCTACCGCATGTTTTCATTTTTACTAACACCACTAGTTCTCGTTTTACTCTGGCCTTTCATAGAAGGGTTGCCTTAGACATTGATTTCACGATTCACTGCCATCTTCAAAAGTTTATTTTAAAGACTGCGATACGAGCATTTTGTGGGTTCTAGCTATCCGTTGAACGCACCATAAAGAATAGCCTGTAGCGAAACAGTTTCTGTAATATATAGTGCAAGAGCTGTGACTACAAACTATGTAAATGTGATGTTCTCGCTGAAAACTTCTGTCACTGTGTTGAATTCTACCTCGGTGGTGCCTGAGAAACGAATTTTACTTAAAAGCGGGCGCATTATGAGCAACCTCCAGACTACGTTGAGCTTCGAAAGCACTATTTGAACACACTTATCTCTAAATTGACCCCGTATAATGCTTGGCATCATGTTGAAAGGTCACACTGTTTCTTCCGCGTCATAGACATACTTCACATCAAACAGTGTCTGACCTTTTGGCAACCCAGTCTCGTCAAAGCGTACAACTGCGCACACCACATTGCTGAAACCGGAGTGGAAAATAATCGCTGGTATCCTTGCTCGCCCGCTGCGTTGCAGTTATCAGAGAAGTGTCCACTTCTTCGCTGGTTTTAGGCGTTCTAAAGTACAGTCGATCCCGGATATATAAAACTCGGATATATCGAAATATTGGCTATATCCAACAGTTGAGGAATCCTCTTGAATTTTTCATGCCAAAAGTATAGAACCAGTGCACTTGTATATCGAAGTCCCGTACAGCGGGACATCCAATTGATGGAATGCTGCGCCGCGCCAAAACCCAGTAAGTGCATTTTTCCAAGTAAATTTTGATCAATTTTCAGCCGCCTTCTGACCAGTTCCGATCCCTTTTCGTGAATAGGTGACAAAAAGGTGGTGTTATTCTAGTTCATTGCGCGGCGCTTGCAGGTGCACCGATAGGTTTGATGTGAAATCTGCAGGTCTTAACGAGTGGGCATAGTGTTTTTCAAAAAGACGGATTGCTGAGGACACCAAAATGAGATTGAGAAGGGACTGTGCAATCTCATTGCAATGCTTGCATTCCCTACCTTCTTTGTTAGCGCACAATGCCATGGGATGGGCATGCAAGCATGAAAAGCATAGCCTTCGAGATCTGCAACTTTGTGACATATCTTTAGTGTTTTCAGTTTTAAAACACCTATTTCGGAGGCTGTGCTTCTTTTAGCTTTTCACATCAAAACAGCTGAAAGCAGTGGCTGCCAACTACAAAGCCACAAGTGATGCCGATATCGCCTACATGTCGATGGTGGTGTTCTGTTGCATTGTTTTTTGCGCCTTGTGGACTTCTCCCCTTGTTCCTGAAAAATCCTCATTCTGGAGTTGAACTAAACATGGACCCACATGTAGCGATAAAAATGATGACTGGCACTATGAGTGACATCAAGCAAAACGCCGTCTTAAACTTTCCTTGCGAGCGAGGTGATGAATTCGGGTGCGTCATGACGGCTGACAACGGCATGCGATGCCTTGGTGAATTCAGCGACTTATCATCGTTTCCGTGCACCATCTCTGACAGTGAGCGACTTCATCAGTGCAGATGACGACGTAGCTGTTTCTGACAGCATCAATGCTGAGATCATGGCTGCCGTTTTCGCAGAAGTGAACCCGTACAATTATAGATATGCCACGGCTTTCGCTGCCGCCGCTAACCAACCTTGTACTGCTCTACAAAGCTTGCATCAGCGTTTTGCATCAATTAACGCTGTTGTGGTCAAAGCAGCTGAATTCGTTTATTTGAAAAGACTGGAACTCGACGGCGTGCAAGAAGGAAGCAAGTTTATAGACTATTTTCATGTTAAATAAAGTGCGGTTACTTGCAGTTCACGTTTACTGTGGGTGAATCGTTATGTTAGCGCTTTTAACTACGTATTTTCGAGACCTGAAATGCTTATGTTTAGGCCCTAAATTTGCATGATTTTATATCGAATTCTCGATATATCGATCCCCCTTCGAGTTCGATATATCAGGGACACGGAGCAAGAAAGACAGGAGGGGAAACTTCGCGCCAGCGCGAGCCACAATAATGTCACCCTGGAAAAGGAGGTTGGTGAACGCGCGCGCTGCGATCTTTGCAGCGACGCATAAAACTATTCGTTTCCCGGCGCGAGAGGAGAGTGCGCGTGCTTACGCTCTCCACGGTTTCCGACGGCAGCCGAGTAAAACCCGGGGTGTCCTCAGCTACATCTGCCGCTCGCCCAGTGCGGTTCGCCAAAACAAAATGAAGCAAGTAGAGGATCTTAGTTCCAGCATTTTTATTTATATATGTTTGATCAGATACTCTTTGGACAATGAAAGCAAGTTAGTGGTAGAATTAAAACAAGCAGACCATCTGCAATTGTAGCAAGGCACGTGCTTAATATCACTCATTTGTGTAGCTTGAGGACAGATTTTGCACGTTCGTCGATATAACAGCGTCATACAGAACTACTGCGTGGAAAAGACATTTCTGAAACACGTTGAGCAGATGGCATCTGATTCAACAGAAGAGCGTAGACTGCTGCTTGATTGGAGTTGTGAATCAATACTGCTTAAAACAAAATGTTCTTACTTTCAACTGACCAAGAACGGCAGCAAGAATGGGTTAGAGCTATATGAAGAGATCGACAACGGAAAGCAAGCGCCCATGTCTAAAAAAGTTATTTCAGCAGCGATACGATCGGCAGGCGCGCGACACTAGGCTAAGTTTAAATTTCCAGACATCCAAGA